GTATGCCGCTCACTGGAAACAATTCCCCCATCAAGTCACTATGCCTTGGGAGTCCCCCATCCCCCGGGCATCAGTTATTTATCTTTCTTTTGTTGGAGCGTACCGCTCACTGGAAACAATTCCCCCATCAAGTCACTATGCCTCGGGAGTCCCCCATCCCCCGGGCATCAGTTATTTATCTTTCTTTTGTTGGAGTATGCCGCTCACTGGAAACAATTCCCCCATCAAGTCACTATGTCTTGTGGGTACAAGTTAAGCAGCCGTTNATCAGTTATTTATCTTTCTTTTGTTGGAGTATGCCGCTCACTGGAAACAATTCCCCCATCAAGTCACTATGTCTTGTGGGTACAAGTTAAGCAGCCGTTTCAATCTCCCCCCTCTTCTGACACATGGCAACAATATTTCATCCTTGAATTTTGCTTGCTTTCCGCCCTCTTCCTTCTCAGCCGTTGTTTGGGTGGTTAGACAACGCCAAAAGCATTGCACAACAGGCCGAACGTCAGCGAGTGAGACAGTTGTAGAAATTAATGGGTTGATTTTCTGCACCGTCTCGAAGGCCTTCTCCTCGACGATGAGCCTGAGGGAGATGAGAGAGATGACCCTGGGGAGGAGGTTGCTCTCTTGTCGGCGTGATACTGTCGTCTTACTCGAGGACGATCGAGGGCAGCCCTACCCTGCGAGCGGAAGGCAGTCCATGGTACATGGTGCTTACTTAGATTTTCGTAATGCTCTGTTCTGGAATGTGTGTGACATGCACGCATTTTGCATACGAACAAGATGGAACGAGCAATCCTCTTTCCTTCCCACGTGCAGCCCCACTAGCAAGCGTTGTGAAATAGATACCATTGGCCTTAGCACGGAGCTTTTTAACAGATCAGTGCGGGACTCAATTTAGTCTGTGTATTTGTTGCCCTCTGTGACAGACCATCGATGTGAAGTTGAGAACAGTTCCTTAAAAAATATCTGTATCACCGTTCACGGAAGGCAATTGCCAAGTTCCTAGGCCTCAATATTTTTCCGCGGTCAATCGTTTCCGGATACGTCACCGAAATCAATTGAACGTGAAGGCCTGGGAGAAAGCCGTGAGCTAGGCAAGGAACTCACCAATATTATCTGGAGAACAAACTGAGTTACAGAAGGTCGAAAGGACTGAGGGAGAATTCTGCTAGTCGAGGAGAGTGCAGATGCAAGACTGTCGGAGGAAAATGCTTGCAACTGCATTTATTACATGATTTTTACATGGCAAAGGTTGCCCATCCCGCCAAGGAGCGTATTATATAGTGCAAATTAATATAATACTGGGCTGTGCATGTTGCTCTTACAAAAAAAAATCAATCAAATTTGTCAAATGTTAAAATGTGCCCGTAGGGACAGTCTGAGAGGGGTCCCAGGTTTGAACTGGGCGTATGTTGGATGGCTGTTGTATTCTGTCATTGTTCTTAGGAAGAAGCTGTTCTTGTAAATCTGTGGGTTGATGTAGGTTGCCTGTGATCTTGTGTTGTAACTTGAAGGCACCCTCAGGTGACCTGGGATGGAAATAGTGTTTCTGCCATGTAACGATTCGTGAAAAAACTATGCGGTGACATTTCCTTCTTAATTCAAGTGGTGGCCATTCAAGATCGTTTAACAACTGTATCACTACGCCATCTTCCCTTCTGTATTCTGGCTGCCCGCCTCTGGATGGTTTCCACGCTCTTCGCATCTTTCTTTGGATGGGGATCTCACACAGCTGATGCATACTCTACATGTGATCTTTCCAGGGTTATATATGCTTGCTCCTTGATCTGTTGTGGACATTGGATCCTTGATCTGTTGCACTTTGTTCAAGTCAGAGGATTCTTCCTTCCCGAACTCCTTTCCAGGGCTCTGCAAGGGGTTAAGGTATGGGTCTGTTGGTAGCGTTCTGTCTCTCAGGACCCAGTAGCGTGCGTTGCAGACGGAAATAACCCCTGTAAATAACTGTTATATCCGCTTTAAAAATCAGCGGATGTGGCGGCTGCGACAAAGGTTACGGGCTCTGAGGCGAAATTTATCTGGGACAACATCAAGAGGTCGACAACGACAAAACGACGCCAGTTGATAAAAGAAAAATGGCCTACTTGTCTATAAGCTGTATAAGCTGTTAAGGCTGGTTTTCATTAGCGACGGAGTCGTAGTCGNTATAAGGTCAATATGGAGGATTAACTCTCTTGACTATCTTCTTAACTATCTTCTCTTGATACTCCCTATAAAACAAAAAGCACGGTATGATGGACTGCTCGGAGCATAGTTAAGATACTACTAATAATAATACAAGTGACTGAGTGTTGTAAATCCGAACATCCAGTGTAGGCCCCCTCCTTCCAATTTTCCACAGAATTGACCCAGAATGTTGGAATTACTCCGTGCAAACACGCAAAACTTCTTCCTCTGGAAATACTTGATTGAAAACGCTGATTTACCATTGATAATAATTTATTTTTCAGTGGATTCCACACAGTGTGCTCAGCAACATCGGCTATCATAATTACAATAGTCGCTGTTTGTTGTCTTTTATTTTGCTTGTGTTTTTTATTATATTTTAATTTTTATTACAATGCTTCCAGCGATGCTCAACAGCCTCTCTCACAGATAAGAATGAGTCTTGCTGGATCTCTTGGAGCAGCACAAGTTATCTTTCTTGGCGGCATCAATTTCACAGAAAGCACGGTTAGAAATTTTCTTGCTTTGTTGAATCTCTTTGAAGGTTCCCTGTCGTTTTTTAGCTGGGACACGCGTACATGGACAAAGCAGACAAAAGTAGACGGAAAGGTTCACAAAATATAATACTGTTGAACTAGAATAATACTTAGCGTGGGGTATTTGAGGGAAAACCCTGTCACATATCGGGGTTTAGGTATTACTGCATTTTCTAACATTTTTGTCTTAGCAGTTGTAGCTATCGATAGCAGTTTAGCTAATATATGGGGAAATGAAAGTTTATCTGATGGACAAATGTATGTTAATGATATGGGGAGACGCTCCTTTCCTTCCTCCCCCCCCCCCCCCCCCTCCTCCCAAGGAAAAGGCACAATTTTGAAGTGATGTACCCCGTTGCTTCACAGGTTGCATGTGTTACAGTAGCGGCCCTCATGCAGTATTTTCTGATGGCAGCTTTCTTTTGGATGCTCGTCGAGGGAATCTACCTTTACTTAAATGTTGTCAAAGTTTACAACATCAACAATAAGATGACAATGTATTACGTCATGTCATGGGGTAGGTTCAATACAGTGATCGAGCATCAGCTGCTCCTGTTATTGTTAATGGCAGCAAACTTACTCGCTCACTCACACTGACGTGGCTCACGTTTTAGAGACAGACCAGTAGAGTGTTATTTTCTGTTTAACAGGTTTTCCTGCTGCCGTGGTTGCCGTTTCGCTGAGCATTACTGCCGCAAAAAATGGCATCCAGAGTTTTGTCAGTGATGAATAGTAAGACAGCCAGTCTTTCCCTTTTTTCCCTTTTTGTTTTCTTTTTTCTTCTCCGTCTCCTGTTTTAATGCCTTTGATTACGTTGGTTTGCTATTTATCGAGAAATTTTCGTTTTCAAGCTGCTTTTGTAATATATGGTGTTATTTTTTTTGTTTCGTTTTCTTTCTTTTCGTTTTATTTTTGGTTTCCTTCTGGATGTAAGCTGCTGGATGTCTCCGGATAGCGAGGTTATCTGGATTTTTGTTGCATTTCTGGTGATGATCGAAGTTGTAAGTGATACGAACGTCGAGTAATATATTAAAATTTATTCTGATATAAGGTAATCTGCTATTGATTGCTAAATTAAAAGTACCCTTCACGTTGCAAGAAGATTGTTCTATCCTACTTACTTACTTACTTACTTACTTACTTCCTTACTGTACTTGTGTTTGCACTCGTGTTTGCTTACTTGTTTCCTTGTGAAGAAAGGCAAGGACCGAAGTAAAAGTTTAAAACTAATCAATCCTTTAGCGCAGGCCACATATTCTTCCATTACTTATGAAATATTTTTACTTTTATCTCTAGATAAACCTGTTGCTGCTTTCGCGAGTTATCTGGGAAATGACCACAATGAAACCAAAAGGAGAACATCGTATTCAACGGATACGGTAAGAATTGACGCTTAACGAAGGAAGAGTTTCTTCCTCTTCCGGGCGAAGGGGAATTAATCCCGCTTGAGAGAGGCGGAGATTCTCGTCCGATTAAAATGACTGAAACCCCCATAGAAGATCATCTGGGCGTGGTTCAAGCTAGGTTGATCTTTAAAAGATACCATTCTAAAACCAGACACTTAGGATGCGCCGTGGCCTAGTGGTAAGTGCGCTGGACTCGTATCGGGGTCTCTGGACTTCTGCCCTTGCCGGCGTCATTGTGTTGTGTTCTTGGGCAAGAAGCATGTGGGAGTAGAAACTAGAATAAGCTCCGGCTGTATAAACCACCTGGCCCGACTTTACCTTACTTAAAAAACAGGTACACAAGTAAAACCTGCAAAAACTAAAATACTTATCAAATGCTTTCATCTGCCACGAAATGTATAAGATCTCGTGTCAGATTTATCTAAACCCTCAAGAATGATACGACGGTCTTGGTTATTTTTTTTAATGAAAAGCGAAATTAGGTTTCCTGGAGGATAATAACATCAGGATTATATTTTGTACATCCCAATTGAGACCAATGCCTGCAATTTACATAATTTAGCGAGACAATGAGCAAACCGACCATTTCATATCTGAGTCTCCCAACCTGGGCAGTATCCCTAAGGGGAGTCGACCTAATATCATTGTGAATAAATCTGTGCAACTTTATCGTCATATGCTTCAAGTGTAAAAATGGTTTACATGTAAGTTAACTGATTTCCATTATCGTAATCTTTTTTCTGTTTTTTTTTTTTAGATTGGGCATCAAAGCATGCCTGATGTTGATTCCACTACTTGGGTTCACGTGGTTGTTTGGTCTTCTTTCACCGTTTCACAAAGCCTTCGTCTACATTTTCACGATCCTCAACTCTACTCAGGTTACCTCTTCAAACCTTGCGCTCAAAACGTTTTATTATCAAGGCTTTCAGAAATCTTCACCGTGAAATCGGCCCATTTTCGATATACATGTATTATAAAGATCTAACTTGGCTCCGAGGCTTGGGGAATAACGCAAAAGAAATCACATCAAGATTGAGGGATAAATATTGAATCTCTTTGCTTTTAATTATTCCCCCAAGCCTCCGAACCACGTTAGAATTTTAATCTAGCAAAAATGGCCTATTCACAACATAATAGAAGTAGATATATTGTCTTCATATAAATCGATGATGGTGATGGACAGACTTTAGGATTTAGTATTTTATGAGTTTGTCAGAAAGAGCTATCACGACTAAAGCCGTAACAGCTTTTCTTTTGCTAGCTCTGCCAACTTTAAACTACTCTGGAGTAATTTTAATTGACTTCTTAGCCTAGTCTGCTGGTAGCACCCTCGGCTCCTCTCCAATAAGAGGGGTCAGGTTTGTAGGCAGTTAGATCAAAATCTTTGTTTAAATAACCAGCGTTAATGTTCTTAATTCTCAACTTTTCTTTGTCGTTCCTTTTCTTATTTCATGGAAAATAGGCCCTTTACACATCATGTCACATGGTACAAAATCGCACATGCTAGGACGCAAGTTGCATGGTGGGACTTCCAAAACAAAGGCAGGTCAAGGTGAACTGGTACGAGTTGCTTTGTTTTGAAAGTCCCACTGTGCAGCTTGCGTCCCTGCTTGTGCATGTGACCAGATCGTGCAAAGGGCCCATTGCATAGTCCACACTGCTTTAAATTCAAAAAAGCCGTTGACATAATTTTTGGAATTCCGTTTTCTTTTCAACTGAACAGGGTTTCCTGATCTTCCTCTTACACTGTATGAGAAACAGCCAGGTAAGAATTCATCGGTTATTTTGTTGTCTTAGAATTGTTCTCGAGTACATATTTTATTCACTGCAAGATCCAGACATTGTAGGCCGATTCCTGAACTGAGTCAGGACGCTTGGACAAATATAGAAGGGAGCCTTCTGTCGCAATTGTATTGCATGCAGCGGTAATGGCAATGCCATTTAACTCTTGATAAAATGAGTTAAGAGCAGATGAGTTAAGACATAGTGGCTAAGAGCAGATTATGCTTTGCTTGGCTGGCAAAACAATTTACTTTGAGGAGAGGACACTATTTGGTTAAAATAGTAACTACTTAACGATAATTATACCAAAATATAACTTTTATTCGTGGTATCTTTTTTTTTTTTCCCAGTCTCTGGATCAGATATGCTCAAAATTAAAAGTAGATGTTTATTTACCTATAGATACTTTTGTTTAAAGTTCATGACTGCTATATTTTATTCTATCTGCAGATCAGAGATCGGTTTAAAAGAAAGATGAACACAATTTTTCCAGCCGTATTCGATGAAAACCCCGCCAAGAAAACGTTAACTTCACAGGCTAATCGATGTCATGCCGGTTTACCGAAGAAAATCGTAGTTCTGTCATACCGTAATAGTGAATTTGAACTGAAGCAGTAATAGATTAAAACTACAGTGAAACCTGTATTGGGACCCTCACTAGTGTCCGCTTAATACAGGGTGTCCGCTCAAAACAGGTTCTAATATGCTGTGCAATAATAGTCAATTATTTGAGTGCTACTATGTTCAAAACATTGACTTCTCTTTTTCCTTCAGATTTTAAAAGCACGCGTGTTTGTTTAACACCTGACGGGCAAAATCTTGAGCTTCGAATTCTATCCAAAGCCTGTTTTCTTTGAGTACAAGTTTAGCATTTCACGGTCCGCCATGTCACATTCAAGACTGACCAATTGGACTTCAGAGGGTTGGGTCGAGGATAAGAGACGTCAAAGACTCACTAGTTTAAAATTGCAGCGTGTAAACGCAGCTTATTGTACATGCAAAACACGAGTTTAAAAGTCTACAAGTTCGAGACTCCCATGCTGCATATTAATTTAGGCGCGTACACACCCATCACATTTTTAAACTAGTAAGTCTGTGACGTCATCTTATCCTCGATCCAGCTCTCTCAAGATTTTAAAGTTAGTAATGGCGGACCATTAATTAGGAAAATTTCAGTCAAAATAAGCAGGTGTTTATTTAAAATGAAGGCTTAAAACTTCGAACACTTAGTGGCTCAGTTATATAGTTTTGAAATACAAAGAAAAAGTGGAATTGGTTTTTGGTCACAGTGGCTCTTTAACACTTTTGTAACACAGTGTAACACAGTGTAAGATCAAAAACTAGCATATATACTACAATGTCCAGTCAATCAATGTATCAATCTGGAATAATCACTTAGCTTTAAAACGATATCGCTGAATAATGACAAGGAGTCTCAGCTGAACCTGTAGAAGTAAAACGAGTCCTTGAAGTGTTCGCTTATTGCAGGTTTTGTACTACAAAATAGCTCAATATTGGTGTCCGCGTCCGTTTAATAGAAGTGTCCGATGAATGCAGGTTAATTTTACAGTAAATGCGGGAAGAAAATTTTGGGGCTTAAGCTGTTGTCCACTAAGTAGAGAGTGTCCGTTTAATACAGGTTTCATTGTATTTACTACCTTGAGCACTCTTCAGTCGAGGAAACAGATACTACGTGTATTTCGCTGAAATGGCAAAAATTCTCAATTCATTTTGTTGTCCAGTCTGGAATCGCAGTAGTACTTTTAACTAAACTTTTCACAACTTCAAATAGAGAGAAATTCGATAGTCTCGATACAATACTCTCTTACAATTGTTTCGTAAAATATAGGTACCGCATTGATTATAAGATTAATCCTTTGATATTTCAAAGTGCCTTTTGTTACAGCAAGCTACCTAGCGCGCGCTGTATCTTTATATCAGAGTCGTCACCCCTAAAAAACCAGTGCTTGTACATGTAAGCTGTTTACAGTATTGTTAAGGTAGGCAAACTGTTTTCTTTTGTTTTATTCACTTAAGGCTGGTTTTCATTAGCGACGGAGTCGTAGTCGGGATCGTAAGAGCGCTTAAATCAAAAATCGGAGTCGTAAGCGGAGTCATAAACCCGACGGAATAGTCGGAAGAATCAGAACGTCTCCGTCGCTTATGATCCAGAGAAAACTAGATTGCCGGAGTCGGAAGCAGAAGAACCAAACAATCACAAGGAACGGAATCGAACATTGTGATTGGTTGATTCTTCCGCTTCTGCTTGCGACTTCGATAATGTAGTTTTCACTACATCGTAAGCAATGGAGTTATAAGCAGAATCGGTGTTCTGCTTCTGACTCCGTCGTTTACATTTTCTACGCTTCTGATTATGACCCCGGCGACTCCGTCGCTGGTGAAAACCAGCCTTAGTTGCTTTCCTCGAGGAAGCCAATAAAGTAAAAACTCTTTTAGTGAATATGTATTATTGTTTATCACTTTAACCAGCCAATTAAGAAATGGTTGGCGCGCAGCGTGCAGCTATCGAGTTATATATGCACGCGGGAGGTTGCTAACCATGAAAGAATCGTAAGATAGCCGCGTGCGACCTTCCTGAGTGCTTAACAAACCTCCCAAGTGCATCTATAACTTGATAGCTGCACACTGCACGCTTACCATTTCTTTTATAACATCGAGACTTTTGAGATAGTATATATTGAATATCGTCCGGCTTACATGAAGTCAAAAGCGTAGTAAACCGCGCGAAAATTTTCATTCAAAAATATGATAAAGCGACACATCAAAATTTTTTTTTGGATCGCGGCAAGTTTATAGTTTGCATTTTCTCGATCTCGGGCAAAGAAGCAACTTCGTTAACCTAAATATCCAACTCGTTAACCTAAATATCAAGCTGACAACAAACGAAAATTGCATTCGGTAAAAGTGTTTCTCAAAAGTTAGTCAAGCTTAAATTTGGATCAGTTTTCCGAAGAATTGAAAACCAACTGCTCATGGTTGCAGCTTTTGGCTGCTGAGCTCTCTGTCCTTCACGGCCTTTTCGGCAAAAGAAAAGAACAATATGGAACCATGTACGCCCTTTTGGCATAGAAGTCTTCCGGGACCTGTTTAGGCTGCCGCACACAGATTTTTTGTTGTTGCAGAACTGCAGATTTTTTTCGGGGTTAAATCGGGTTCAAATTTGCCGGGCCATCAGCTTGCCGCACACCAGCCGATTTTCGTCGCGACTAACCCTCTTGAGGCTTGGGGCCGAGTCATTCAAAATCAAGATGGCGCCTATTCCACTGACGTGACTTTCATGACATTTCCTAATTGGTTGAGGAGGGCGCGAGCCCCGACAAATTGTCTTTGTCCACCGCGCAGTAGCTGACAAAGCTCGACAAGACGTTTTGAGATCTGGCACTGTCAGATATTGCCGGACAAGCCCCGATCTTGTCGCAGACTTGT